GACCTTGTAGATTTTCGTACTTGTGAAAAACTTTAACCTTGGCCATAACTTTTGAACAGTAAGAGATAGGGCTTTTATACTTCATATATGTAATTCTTGTGAAAAGACCCTTCATTGGATATGAAGATCCTTGACCCTTTGACCTTGACCTTAGAGCTTGACCTACTTTAAAAAAGCAAACTTGACCATAACTTTTAAAGAGTTAGGGCTAGTGCTTTCATACTTTACATATTTGATCCTTATGACAAGACCTTTCATTTGTTAACAATAACTTTGATGCTTTGACCTTGACCTTTAGTTTGACCTACTTTTTAAGAAATTAAACGTTAACCATAACTTCTGAACGGTTAGGACTAGGGCTTTCATGCTCTACATAAGTATTTTATGTGGCAAGACCTTTCATTTGATACTAATTACATTAACCTTTTGACCTTGGAGATTTTTGTACTTATTAAAAACCTTTAACATTAGCTTACTTTCAAATTTAATTAAATTTGCTTTTAATAAAAGCTTAATCTTTGCTATGTTGCCATACGGGGGCATCAGTGTTTTACAAACACATCTTGTTTTTTCATGAGTTTTATATACATATTTTGTCAATAATAAGTCAGACTTACTTTGTGATAATTTATTATAGCTATGACTGACTGAGAAGGGAATATACAGATCTGAGCTGTAGGTTTATATACCATATATTTGGTAAGATTTGTGTTTAGTGAATTTTGTGTATAATGTGATGTCTATTTGTATTGTATATAGAATTTCATTTGAAAACTATAATGGAAATGTTAATATTGAAAAGTAAAGTATTTTATGATGATGAATTTGCATGATATAATGCATGAAATACTTATGATCTTCGAAAGTTATGAGGAAAATTGAATTATTTCCATGAGCTGAATATTCAGTATTTCATACTATGTTTGTGTATGTGTGTTTGTCTGTGAATTACTTCTTAAATGTTTTATTTACAGAACTTTTTGCTTGTGAACAACTAACCTGTTTTTATGATGAAATAATAATACATTGGTGAAATTGAACCCAACTTCTCGTTGTCATTGAAATCAACGTTTACATGTATGATAGGCCTATTCACTTCTAAAAGAGATAAAATATATGAAAACATTAAGTAGATGAACAAGATCTGTTTATGAATAATTTCTTAAAATAATGAAGAAAGAAAACTGAGAAGTTCGATTTTAACAAATATTTACGAAGTCGAACTTTAGAAATTCGTTCCATTGAGTCGATGACCGGAGTTGTCAACTGTTTGGATATCCTCTCCACTTGTCTATATCTTTTCTCCTTCGTAGACATTCATACATAAAAGATTTTAAAAAAGAGATATCGTTTACATCTATTTACAAATTTCTTCAAACCGTATGGCATGTCATACACTAGTCTTTATCTAATTAAGGCCACAACAATTTAATTTATTGTCCGTCGGACTCACAATTTCAACAAAACTCTACAAATAATATTTACTTAAAATTTAAGTACCTTCGAAAATTCTGTGTTATTTTCTTCTCTTTTTTCGCATTTTACATCTGGTTCTTATACAAATCAGGAACTTTTTTTAGATATAATATTCTACTCAATTTTTTTCATGTTCCACCTTTGTATTTTGCCTTAAAAAACCGATAATAATATTATTTTATCACTTATTCGCTTCCACTTTTTTTTATCAGATGTCCGACGAACACGAAAATAAATAAGAGTGGCCTAACGTGAAAATCTATTCGATATATGTTTTCTTACGTTCAGCTTGACGAGTTCTAAATAACCATTGGCACCTACATGTATGACGTTTCTAACGTTTCGGTACCACGTGATCCCTATCTAATTAGTGAATTAAGATGTTTACTTTCAGGACCCTTTATTACAAACGCTCAATCGCCTAAATACAACCGTTTAAAAATTATAATTAACGACAGATGAGACGTTCCTTAATAATAGATAAATTTTTCTAAAAGTTTGTCCTGAAGTATTGCTACTTAAACATGTTTACTCATAAAAATTGAGGTACCTTACCAGGTACAATAGTATTTCTGCAAGATAGAGGTAGTTTTTCTTATATAATCCTTTTAGAAAGAAAAATAATTTTCCAATTTGAAATGTTTAAGTGTTTGGATTTTTTAAAAACGCTTAGAAACTGGTTTAGAAATCAGAATGTTATTAAAATTTTGAATATTTTCCATACATGACGAAGATTTACAAAACAAATTTTGAGGAACGTCTCGTCTGACTTTAAACGATTATATATATATACATATATATATATATATATATATATATATATATATATATATATATATATATATATATATATATATATATATATATATATATGTGTGAGGGTGTGTGTGTGTGTGTGTGTGTGTGTGTATACGTGATAAAAAAGACCATTTTACATGCATTACAGACAAGTTCTGGTTCTGTCCCGATTCACCACACTATTTTATACAATGTTAGCTTCATGAATTCATATTAAACTTTTGCAAACTCGTTTAATGTTACACAAAGGCAGAAAATTTGAATCACAAATACACTTTTATTGAGGTAAACATTGTTTAAACTTTCTTTATTCCACACACATTAAGTTTATTGATTCTGTACAATTTTAATTTCTATCTATGTTTGTGATGGAGTGTGCGTGTGCCATAAATGTACGTCTTTCTAGAAAGATTCGAGGGTTGACCATTGATCAGAGGGTTCACGATTTATCAAATTATTTACAAAAGAACAATTCAAATCAGATTGAAATTTACATGTTATATAAATAGCAGATATCCTATAACACATGTGAATGACGTCACAATGTGAAAATGAGGTCAATATATATATATATAGGTGACCTGTACCGGAAAAATCGTGATCCGAGAAAGGAGCGGCTGTATAGTGTTACGTAAATCTTAGAGATTCCTTTACAGTGGCATAAAGTAATTCGTACTCGGTTTATAAAGACAGATGGCTTATAAGAAGTTCAATTATAAAATGATTGTTTTAGTGAAAGAAGAGAGATTACTTTAGATAATGTTCAGTCTGGTGCCCAGTGAAAGTATATTGAAATTGAGATGTGACTTTACTTGAATAACATACTAGTATTTTTTTTTTTAAAGAAGGACTGAAGATACATCGTTTACGGTTTAACTAGCATTTACAGTTTAATTTTAGCCCTTTGTAAGGTTGATATCTATCTGCGAGAGAATGATGCATTAACAACACTTTTGACCACATATCATTTTAATATTTAGATGTGGTATGTTAAGAATTTAAGAAAGTTAAGAGAGATGGACTAAACTTTTCACCATCATATTTTGTTGAGACATGTACATGATGTATAAGAAACATGTACATGTACAGGAGACTTTGAAAGGTTCCTCTAAAATGTCACTTTTTAGATATTTGCTTCCGCTGTACCTTCTGGTGGAGAAAGAGCTTACAAAATGATGTCACTATAACTTTTCGACATTGTCCATCGGAGAAATACCAGAGCATTTTTACATCCATGGAGGCTGGGGTCAGTATTATATTTACGGGAGCTTGAACAATTTTCTGCATCAAATTGTGAAGAAAAGTACACATTACTTAGAGGAATGAAGTCTTAATTTTCTAAATCTATCATTCATTGACAGATTATTCTCTTTGTTCTCAATTGCACTTGGATATTTTTCGTGAATGTTTTGCTTACAATGCCGTCGGAGAGATAGGTCTGCTCCTAAAGACACATTTTCAAGGTGTAAAGAAAGACTTGTGTTAACAATGTCCCTGTTCTTCTACTGTTTTATTCTCCTTCTGATTCACATTTTGTTCAATGGAGAGACTCATATCGACGTCTTAAATCACTTGTAGGGTCATCCGGAAACACCTCTAGGGCATAAATCCCACCAGAAAATTTGTTTTCATGTTCAGCTGGAACTTTTGAAAAGCATATGATGTGCATGTCTATGGTATCAATTAAGAATTTGGACATGTAACAGAAGCTTTGATTTGTTCCTTAAATCCTTTCCAAATTCATATAATTTAGAAATAATAAGTTGTGTACAGTCGCAGTTTCATTGAAAATCAAATCATTGAAAAATACATAGATCGTAATTTTGCATTATTATATAGATTTTTAAAACATTTTTCCTTTTGTAGAGAAATTACTTTTAAAAACAGCTATTATATTGTAAATATACATGTACCATTTTTTTCAATTTCTATGTCGCAAAAAGATTAAGGGAAATTTTTTATTTATTATAAAATGATAACGATTGGATAAAACTTGCTGGACTTTTACAATTTTTGTGTGAAATATGCTTGCATCCTATCCATACATTTCATACTGTTTCGTGCTTTGTTTAAAATATACCTAAATTCATGACTATATTTGTCTCTCATGACTAAGTAATTTCTTACATTTCTGTAAATATACAATAAATCAAGTATAAATGATTCATTTTCACTCTTCACAAAAGATGATTTACTGTCATTTCTGAAAAAGGTAATGATGCAGTTAAAACTATATACATGTGTCTATTTCTCAGTTAAAAATAACAGAGATAAAACTATATCTAAATTTAAACTGCACGAACAAATTTTATTTCGAAGAAAGAAATGTAAGTGAATACACTGTAAAATTTTACAACGTTCAAACGATCTGCAGTTTCGGTGATGTATCACAAGTATACGTCTCTATTATTTTTACGTTTTCTTGTCTTTCATGATTTTCCAAAACAGGCCATTTACATTAAAAAAAAACAGATTTATTGTGTGTGTTTTTTTAAAAGAGTTATTGTTTTTAGAAGATTTATGGCACAAAAAATCGAGGATCTGTTTCTTTGAAGGAGATGCATTTAATTCTTCATCGATATCGTGATGAATCCACATGCTCTGTTTAAGTTTGGTCCTCTGTAGAATTTGAGCATTTTAGGCAGCATATCAATATGTCAAGCATTAAGCAAGTTATCTAGGTGAAGATGAGAAAAAAAAATTTCACTATCATATATCGATGACTTTGACGCAATCCTCAGAAATATTTGCTTCCTCTGTTCTTGTACTTTCTGACGAAGAAATGGCCTAGGAAGTAAATGAAATACCGGATATTTTTGAGCTCATACGGGCCAGAGTCTCAATGCTATTTCCTGTTATATACATTGAATAATGAAAAATGATGAGTATCAACGTGCCCACTACTAAGAGGAATCAAGTCTACGTTTCCTGTATGTATTATCATCTGATGTATTGTCATCTGTTGATAGATGATTCTCTAGATTCTCATTTGTACATGTATAATTTCCATGTATATTTTGCTTACAATTCAGTTGTCGAAATTCGTCTGCTCCTAAAGACATTTGTTCAAGATGAAAAGAAAGACTTGTTTTAACAATATCCTTGTCTTTATAATGTTTTTCATCCACCAAAGATTTCCTGTTCAAATTATGTCCAATGAAAGAATCATGGCGACTTCTTAAATTACTTTTAGAATCGACCGGACCTACTTCTTGAGCAGGAATCCCATCAGAAAATTTATTTTCATGTTCTACTGGAACTTTTGAAAAACATTTTTGCGTGTCTCTGGCATCAAATGAATTCTGATGACATGCACAAAGATCGTTCCTCATGGTAGCAGAATTTGTTGATGAAGGTTTTTCATTGGAATCAAAGGTACAACATTCTGATCCATTTTGCATCTGTGGCTCCAGTATGGCTTTGATTTGTTCGTGTAATTTTTTCCCGATATTATCTGTTAAAAAAATATAAGTTGTGTATATTCATTGTTTCATTTTTTAAAAAAAAACATGAAAAATGCATAAATTCAAATCATTTAAAAGGATATACACATGTAGATCGTAATTTTGCAATTTATTAATAAAACACGTTGCTTTTCGTAGAGTGTATTTTTATATTAGCTATTAAATACATGTGTACCTTTTAGCTTTCAAATGGCATGACGAGAAAAAATAGGCGGAAGATTTGATGAATATTTATGACATAACAATTAATCATAAATCTTGCTGGACTACCACAGTTTTTGGGTTAAATATGCTCGATCCTAATTCATACATTTTAGACTGTTTCATGCTTTGTATAACATGTACCTAGATGCATGGCTTTACCTATCAAGGTTACTACACGTAGTCCATATAATTTATTTTTAAATTATTCATATTTGATAATTTTTCATTTTTGCTCAAAAGAGTAAGATTTTTAATTATTAAGCATTTGGCAAAGTTAAGAGATTTCTCATCGATCACTCGTAAGGAAAAAAATTCGCTTGGATGCTTACTAGTAAGATATTTACAGTGTATGAACAAAATACATGTATACTGTAACTAAAGAGATGTTTGTTTGTGTAAACTGAAATAAAGCTATAAATTATTCACAATTTTGAATAAAAAAATGATATGTAGTTGTATATATGATATGTATATGGATTTTTGTATTTTCATCACAAAAATCCATATACATATCATATATACAACTACATATCATTTTTTTATTCAAAATTGTGAATTTTCTAACAGAGGTTAAGTACTTTTTTTAGTTATATACCTGCTTTGATGTAATTAACAGCTTCTAAGATGTGCTTAATCAATGGACAAGTGGAGATAGTCTCGTCATCCTTGTTGTATGTCAGCAGATTTCTTCTCAGCAAGGGAAGCAGGTGGTTGAATTTATATTCTGCTACACTCTTACATCCTACAAATGACATGGTAAATTTCTAAAAAAAAAAATTGGTTTCTTCTCCAAAAATGTTATAGCCTTCATAATAAGAGCAAAATATTCTTCTTTATTCGACCTATTGTTAAATTTTTTTAGAAGACAAAAACGAAATAATAAAAAAAATAAAGGATAAAAGATCATAAAAATCAAAGCACGCAGTTTTCATTTGATTTATATTTCAACTATAATTTGGAGAGGATAATTATTTAAACTTAAAGAAAACTTACTTAACAATTTCGCGTTTGCTTTTATCGTCGATTTGCTGGTGTATTTTATAATAAAAAGAGTCTTCACTAAGTTGTCACTCTGTTCTTGGCTCAAATGTTTCCATCGATGCTGCAGCTGTGTGTCTAAATTGAAATGAAAAATAAAATCACAAAAATACCTTTGATACCCTTGATATTTTGAGAATTGTTTTTTAAAACTCAAGGTTTTAATTAAAAGGAAAATTAATTTGATAATTTACATGTGAATAAAAATAACCTTACTTATTCTTTCTGGATGAGGAAGAAATTCATCACTCAGTACCTCAACGATCTGTTTCACCATTAAATGTATAACCTCATCGACAGATATTACATTATCCTTCATCAATAGACCTGTAAAACTCATCAACGTATCAACATGTTAATATAAAAACTATTAATTTAGATATCTAGACGTATCCTAATCGTACAAATTATATTGAATTTGAAGATAAGTAAACGGTAATATACTAGTAATAATAAACAATGGATATATTTTCATGTTACTTTAACTTTTGATAATGATAAAACAATTGATTGCACAATTAATATTGGTCTGCAACCTGCATTGATTATAGCTGGTGGTATTCCTTCACAAAGTCTGACTACGTGTCGGCGAGCGTTAGTGACTTCATCAGAGGAGGGACATACGTCATTTAACAGTTCCAAACACTCTTCCTCTGTTAAAGCAGGGAGTTTCTGCATCCAGAAAACCCTCCTTAGCTCTGCAAATCGAAATTCATCCATTGAGGAAATGATCAGATAAAAGTTGCTACATTCTGTAAGAAGTGGTTTGATGACTTCTACATAGATTTGATCCCAGAGACTTTGTTTTGTTGAATCTGGAAGGTTTCCATCCGAGTCTGGTTTGGCCTTGGCTTCCTCTTGATGGTCATGGTGAAAAATATAAACATCGTCACAGTCTTTAAGAACCTTGATAACTTTTTGTATGCATTGGCAATTTTTATGGGAACAAACGTCATACTTCGGTATGTTTAAATACCCAGCAACAGTTGCAATGTATGCTTCGTATGTTCTAATGCATTGGAAATCAAGAGTGATTGTTTTCATTTTATCACTTTTTTCAGAAGTTCTCAAAATTCTTAGGAAGTTCTTCACATATCTCGTTTTGCCAACACTCTTGGGACCATAAATTCCGAAAATCTTGTAATGGCCACGATTCCAAGCTGCTTTAAAATTTTCTGTACATTGTACTCGTCCGACAAATATATCTTCCATTTCTATAAGATGTGACAAAACTGATACCAGTTTTTGAGTTTGATGTCCATTCACATATTACCCTATTCAATAAAAAATGAGTCATGTAAAAAGTCAAAAAAAACTTTGTTATTCTAGTAACCATTTTTGAATATATATATAGACATATGTTTTCTTTACGAAAAAATATAATCTATGTTATGAACTTCTTTTAATTACAGAAAAAGAGATTGACTTCCATAGAATAAACCTTCAAAGAAAAGTACAATTAACAACAATAAACTATCTGGATATCGCAACGACGCGTCGCAGCTTTATGACATTAGTACAGATATACAGAAGATAATAGTAAATCAAGTTGGATTAAACAAATCTAAATTATGATTTATCTATATTTTATTCATAAAATTTAACCATGCTCTATGCGTCGCTTCTTATTTAACTTTGCATACGAAACAGGTATTCGATTGAAAACCTAATCCCGACCTGAAGTTCATAATAATTACAAGTAGAAGATGATTTCTGTCTAACTCGTTCCCTTAACAAAAGAAATCATATTTCAATGATAAACACATCTATGAAAAGTTTGTCCAGGAAATGTGATTACATAAAGAAGGAGCTACTTAAGAGTGTTTTCGCCAAGATTTACTAGTATACATGTACAAGGAAATATTGATAACCAGTACTTCGGAGTTCTTTGTGTACTTCGGAAAGCAGTTTAATGCAGTTTGAATCTCAAACAACTTAATGTTTGATTTTATCCCAACAATTATACACATTTCATACACTCCATGCATTAATGCACGAAATTATAAAGTTTAACTTTAACAAGATTATAGAGTAGTTCTTCTATTTTAGCAACGTGCTTGTGTTTATTGATTATTTGTGGAATATGTTGAGTACTCAATCATTGTCAACTAAACATTTATGTAATTTATTATAAGAGGGGACAAAAAGATATTCTTTTTCCAATTTTACAAAATATCAAAACGTATACACAATGTATCTTTGCAAAAAGGGGAGGATAAGCCTCCTACCTACCCCCCCCCCTTTCCCCTCGGCTCCGATGCCCATGACATGTTAATTAAATAAGCAGTCATATGCTGAGATAAAACAAAGCTTGTATCCAGAACACAGATATAAATAGATCTGATATACACATTGCATATAGATGTGTCACTATACTTGTAAGTATATGCAAACAATGACGATAAGAAAATTTTTGTTATTTATAAACCAGACAAATCTCAAATTAACATTTATATCATGACAATAAATTGAAAGAACGTTTAACCATTTAATTAATTTACAATTTTTTAAATTTCCAGTGTAAGTTTTTACTTACCACCTCTGACGAATTCTTCTCCGTGGGCGTTTATTGACCTGTAAAAAGATCCCGTGCAAACATTTTATAAGAAATGAAGTTCAAGGTCATTTTCAGAAAGTCCATCTATATAAATAGATTTTGTAAACTACTAGAATTTTTAAAATAAGTAGATAAAACAAATACATGTGAAATAATCATAATTTAATTTACGCCACACAAACTATAATTATTAAATCGTAAAATGATTTGAAAATTGTACAAACAATTTTCTTATTCATAAAAAATCAATTGAATAAAATTATTGTACACAAACTAAATTTATTATACCCCCCGCTTGAAAAGTGGGGGTATATAGTAATCGGTATTTCCGTCCGTCCGTCCGTCCGTCCGTCCGTCTGTACGTCCGTCCGTCCGTCCGTCTGTCCGTCTGTCCGTCCGTCTGTTACGCTTTGGGGTACCCATCTCTTATCCTGCAACTCCTCGTCATACCAGTTGGTTGAAATTTGATGAAACTTTCACAGAATCCTTATTACATGTTGCCATTGTGCACCTCCTATTTTACTTTTTGATCGGACACATATTTTGGGTTTCCCGGCCACAGGAAAACATGGACTTTTTCACCAGTTATAACCATATGGGAGGCGGGGGGTATCATTTAGTGAGCTCATCGCTCACAGTACCTCTAGTTTATTATACCCCCCGCTTGAAAAGCGGGAGGGTATATAGTAATCGTTAATTCCGTCCGTCCGTCCGTCTTTACGTCCGTCCGTCTGTTACGCTTTGGGGTACCCATCTCTTATCCGCAACTCCTCTTATACCACTGAATGAAATTTGATGCAACTTTCACAGAATCTTTATTACATTTTGCCATTGTGCACCTCCTATTTTACTTTTTGATCCGACACATATTTTGGGTTTCCCGTAGCAAAACATGGACACTGCCATTTATACACATATGGGAGGCGGGGGGTATAATTTAGTGAGCCCATTGCTCACAGTACCTCTAGTTTTAATTGGTAAATCGATTTTACGATTGTAGACAGAGGAAACGAGTGATTTTGAGGGGGGAAATATACAATTTTTTAAGAAAAGTTTTAGAAATTGATCTGAAAATTTTTACAAACTGTTGTCTAAAAAATAATTTTTTCCCTCCAAAATTGAAATTTGATGTATGTATGCCGTCGTAGATTATATTCCTTGTTGCTTTCTTCAAAAATTATTGTTTTTATTCTTATTTTCAGAGTATCTGAGAGGCAGTTCACGTGAAAGTCCAAACTGAGTAATGATGATTGCTTTCTTTCCAAAACGAGAATATGATTTTTTTTTCATTTTTAGAGTTTTCGCTCCTTGATCATTAGACAATGTACCGAAGTGAACAGTTTTGCGTAAGATTTTTTAGTTTACAGAGTTACAAAAAATGCACATGTAGCGCATCACGTTATTATAATGTATAATTAACATGTCTATTGCATGATCTTATTTTTATATTCAGTTGTAAATAATACAGTGTATGCATTTTACTGGATTATTTAAAATATAAATTGGGCTCTTTCAACAATTAATTAAAATGGTACTGCAGAACTGTAGCTCTCAAAAAAAAAAAAAAAAAAAAAAAAAAAAAAAAAAAAGAAAAGAAATTTAGACATGCAGACCATCAATCCCCATTTTTTTTTCAGACCAGCGCGGTACAGATCTGCAGCTGACATTGTATATTTATATTATATTTAAATTCATTATATATTTATTCCGTCAAATCATTGCGCAATTAATCATAAAAAATACTGGAAAATACTTTTATTTGCCAAAGAGTTTATCAAATATAATGCCGAGTAGTATTTGAAAAAAATAATTATGTACATTTATCAATACTCATCTGATTTTTTTTTTTTTTTTTTTGCGATTGAAAATATAGCGTTTTTAAATACCTGGGATTTGTGTACATGTACATATTTTAAATTATTTTTATTAATTGTAAATTCTAACATAACTTTGCTATAAATTCAGTTGTTTTGCGTGAATATTTTACCCCCCCCCCCCCCCGAAGTTTTCCTACTGCTTTTTCTTTGGATTCCTTCTATTTCTGTATATAAATAGTTTTAATAATGAAAAATGTTTTACACGTATTCTGGAATATGTATGTTTCACTGATGAAAGAACTCATGTGCTTATGAAATCTTTTATACAGGAGGCCGGGAAAACTAGAGTTTAAATGCATGGTTCAGCAGTGTTAAGAAAGAAAATTGTTCTCATACAATAAAAAGTGGAAAATTGTTCTGTGCATATAGGTTTTTAATTATGGATCTACGCAACAAGAAATCAAAATACATTCTTAATATATACCTACATGTAGCACCTCAACGGATTTAGTACTGTCGACGTCTGGATGTGGTGATTTAAAGCCAATATTGTTGGGAGCAATAACCTCCCTATAAGGCCACAAAAATTCAATTTTTTGTTTGTATGTTGGACTCCGCATTCTCGCATTTAAACAAAACTATACGTCAAATAATATTAATTTTTAATTTCCCGCACCCAGAAAATTCTAAGCGAATTTCTATTCTATTTCCATTCTATTTTTTCATATTTTTATATTTTTAATTTGCTTACTGAGTTACTCTACAAATCAGGAAAAAGTAAAGACCTCTATATAAAAAAATCTTCTCGAATTGTTTATTATGTTCTTCCTAGAAATGCCTACATACATGTATAAGTACAGTGTAATAACGTTATTATTTAATCGCTCGCCGCCCGATCCTACTATTATTCTTCAGATGTCGAACAAGAAATTAAATTAGTTTGGTCTTATTTATATTTATATGTAGAATAAATAATTCATCAGATATCTTCGTGTTATCATTTCACAACAATTTCTAAGTCTTTGACTTCATTATATAACATTTTACCGGTATTCTTGCATCATGAGAAACTATACAAGGCGCTATTGTTAAAATCAATTTTCCAGGAAAAGTTGTAAAAAAAATATTACAGAAAGGACACTTACCCTTTCTCCTACATTGTACCTGTTTGTACTGAAATCAGATAACATATTTATAGAGTGAAATAATAAAGGAATAAGCAATCTTAATAATAATTTACTTACATTTTCAAATCATTCGTATTTATAAATATAGATGGAAAAAATATACTTTGAAATATCATATGACTTGTTTGGACAGAATAATTGAATGCTAACAAAAAAGTTATCTAACTTTGTTGATGTTTCTTATGCAAAACTAGAGGTACTGTGAGCGATGAGCTCACTAAATGATACCCCCCGCCTCCCATATGGTTTTAACTGGTGAAAAAGTCCAGGTTTTCCTGTGGCTGGGAAACCCAAAATATGTGTCGGATCAAAAAGTAAAATAGGAGGTGCTCAATGGCAATATGTAATAAAGATTCTGTGAAAGTTTCATCAAATTTCATTCAGTGGTATGAGAGGAGTTGCGGATAAGAGATGGGTACCTCAAAGCGTAACAGACGGACGGACGGACGGAAATACCGATTACTATATACCCTCCCGCTTTTCAAGCGGGGGGTATAATAAAGTATTCCAAAAATGTACAACTCAGAACACTTATCTAAAATAACCTTTGAAATTAAACACGTTACGAATAAGTTGACTATTTTCAAAAAGTAAAAAAGTTCTATTTCACATACCCTCTCACTAAGCATTTAGGATTCATTGTAGCCATATGCATGCAAATTTTTCGTTTTAGTTTTAAGCTGAATGAAATATGGAGGTAACGAACAGTTATAAAGCTCAACAGTCCTTTAAATAATTACGCGTATTTTTAGTTGAAATATTTAAACTAAAAATAACGCGTAATTGTATCAATCATAGCAAACAGATCTTTATATATGCCGGGGTATATCAAAGGTGGGATCAGGTGCAATGAAGGAGTAAGCACCCCTTGTCGATTGATCACACCCGCCATGGGCTGATTGTCATGTCCGCGCAAAAGAAAATAAAAAAAAAATCCGCAGACAATTTAATAAACAACACATAATAGCCTTCATGGATATGAGAATATCGATAAAATAATTCTGCCGTAATGAAAAAAAAATTCATTGCTCTGTGTGTGTGTGTCTCCCTCTCACTTAGCCTTTAAAAAACCTATAATGTAGATTTCCAGTCTATAATATACAGCATTCAATTAAGGAACACAGCGGGAGAAGCTATTGAAGGAAAATAGCTTTTACGGAAGATTTTTACACACTACTACCAGCATGTATATACCTTGATTAAATATTGGAAAACGACCCCAGCACGCATTTCGTCCATTCCATTAGCCAATTTCAAAGGTCGTCCTCTTGGCTCTGTGATGATTAAGCGTTTTGTTTTAGAATCACGGATAAAGAGTTTATCCATACATAGCGTGTTAGAATCTCATCGTTGGACAGGGAGGTCAGTACCCGGAAAATGCGTAGCTCCACTACTTTAAGAGGACTGAGGGTTGTGGCTTTTTTAGGCTATATTGATAGAAGAAGAGCTACATGTGCACATATGAAGATACCTAAAAATGATCAAATTTCAAATCTGAAATGTATGAATCTTTTTTTTGCCAAATGATAGTTACAGCTTATATCATATCTAAAAAATGAAGTTATATCTGATGGTAAATTTGTTGATGTCTCAGCCTCCTTAACTCCATAGGTCAAATACAAATTTACATTTTAGCTATCTGCATCGTTTAGGCAAGTGGTAACGTCCCTGTATGATTGGAAAAAATGTCGATGAGACGCAACTAGATAAACAATTAAAAATGATACAAATTTACCAATGTACAGCTTTTTAGTTTTGATTTCTTACCCTTCGTTACACAACTTTGAATAAAGTTATATATATCCAGTTTTCTTAAGAAATTTAACTTTAAAAAATAAATTTTTGCTAAACGTATTGATTTCCATGATATTGATAAACGATGTCAAGGAATTCCAGTTTGATTATAATTCATGTACATGTATAAACTTTTGTACACAAATTTCACACGCACAGTTCTTGTGGTGAATTCATACCTTAAAAAAACTGCCAAATAATTTGTCATGTGGGATAAC